GAACACAAATGCATTTTTTCCCCGTAATAAGTATCATAGAATGGGTTTTATGTGTGTACACATGTGTACACATTAGTATATATTTATATCCTGTAACCGAACTTATTTTACCTTGATATGAAGTTAACATGATTTATAGCATAACTGAATCATATTTTACCTATCAGTTTAATAATAATTTGGTGAACAGAATATTTAAGACTTAGCATAGTAGTTTGGGGCAAAAACTTATGTCATTGATCCACAAATAATCAGAACTGTGAGCAATTCATTTGTAATAATAATCAGGATAATTTATTATACCTATTGTTTAACATAAACCTTATCATACCCTTCCTGAGAAGGAAACAGTTTCAAGTATCATGAATTAGTTAATAAACTCACACAATTACTAAACTAACAAGGGGCAGATATTTATGTGATCTTAAATCTCCCACTTTATATGGAAATATTTTTTCACTCTTTTTACTCTTGGGGCAATATTATTTTGCACTATCAATCATATAAGAATGTTATAACTGAGATATAAATAAGTCAGTACAGAGAGAAAAGTTTAATGTGATTCAGAAACAGCCACCACCATAAAGGAAAATGTCATAAAATCTTCCTATCTTAATCAAGCATAGCCTGTTAAAACTAAAACACAGGTAGCTATTAAGGACTCCATTCAAACTAATGTCCAAGGTTTTCAAATTTATAATATGTTTATTTGGAAAAGATATGTTTAGTTCAATAGTAATTCAGTAATTTTAAAGAGAATGACTCAGACTTCTGCTCTTGCTGAGACAATCATACATAATTGAAGTTCAAATGTAAAAGATTACAACACAAATAAAACAAATATGATTAATTAGAACCTGAGCAGTCAAGAAAAATTTTTGTGAATTTGGGAATGGAAAGCTCATTGTGGACCACAGCTCCCCATGGTTTCCATATAATGACCAGCGTTATTAATTCCTTAATGGGTTAATTAATTGCCATTAAATATTAATTAACTGACTTAGCAGTGCCAGGCACTGTTCTTCAGGCAGAGATTTGTAGACACACAGAAGAAATAATGCCCTTGAGCTACTATTATCAAATGAAGGAGACAGGAAAAGTGGAAGTATTAACAATAGCATATTATGACAGATACTGTGGGAAAAAATGAGTATTTAGATAAGGTAAGGATGATCCATTTTGTGTAAAGGATGTTAATATTTGAGGAGGTGACATTTCAGCTGAAACCTTAAAGAGGTAGCCAGTCATGCAAAGAATCAAAAGGGTATTTCAGGCAGAGGATATGGGTCATTTGATAGGTTTAAAGAGGACAAGATCTTGGTGCCTTCAAGGAACTGAAAGGTCTCTATGGCTAAAAAATAGTGAGGAAAGTGAAAAATGACTTGAAGTAATTTGGAAGGAAGCAAGGTGAAATCAAAGGAAGCTAGTTAAAGAGCTGTTGGTTTAATCTAGGAAAGAAATTAATGGTGACTTGATTTAGGGATTTGACAGTAAAAATAGATGAATAAATTTAGAGGTAAACTGGACATGGTTTCCATAGTGTACTGAATTTACTGAACAGACGTATCTTAGTAATTAAGCTATTATTATGTTATCTGAAGGAAATTTAGTGACAATATTAACCGAATAAATCAAGAGAAAAAATGCTTACCACAGAATTCAAAATTATAGGGGCACCTGGGTGACTCAGTCAGTTAAGCGTCTGACTTCAGCTTAGGTCATGATCTCGCAGTTCATGAGTTTGAGCCCTATGTCAGGCTCTGTGCTGACAGCTCAGATCCTGGAACCTGCTTTGGATTCTGTGTTTATTATTTTTGAGATAGAAACAGAGAGACAGAGTGCAAGCAGGGGAGAAGCATAAAGAGGCAGACAGAATCTGAAGCAGGCTCTGAGCTGTCAGCACAGAGCCCAATGAGGGGCTCAAATCCAAGAACCATGAGATCATGACCTAAGCCGAAGTCAGACGCTCAACTGACTGAACCACCTAGGCACCCCCAAAAAAATTTTTTAAAGTAATGCAAGAAATGATTCTTAAGGCTAAGTAGATTCCACCATCTCCATTGTTACATGAATAAACCAAGGAAAAATATAATTATTATACTCAGATTACTAAAGTAGTAAATAATACATATAGGATTTAGGGTTAAGTTTCTCTGATTCCAAATGCATGTAATTTATGATAGTGGATAATTAAATGTTAATATTTGAGGAGGTGACATTTAAGCTGAAACCTAAAAGTAACAGTCAGGCTAGAAATAACAGACTGTTCCAGGCGAAGTACATGGGCAAAGCTTTGATGCAGACAAGACAAAGGGTCACTCTTTAACTATCTGAACTCCTATCCCAATTTGACCAAAAACATAAAAGGGATTCTTGTAGGAAAAGATCCATCAATATTAATTTTTCTTTATTCTTCTAATAAAATGTGTATACCATGCAATCAATTTTTTATTTAAATGTATTTTAACATGACATATTTTTTCCTACTTCTAGGTGAATACTGGATTGATCCCAACCAAGGTTGCTCAGGCGATTCCTTCAAAGTTTACTGTAATTTCACATCTGGTGGCGAGACTTGCATTTATCCAGACAAAAAATCTGAGGGAGTAAGTACCAGTCTGTTTTGGTGGTGATTGTTGACAGTTCCTGCCATGTTTTTGCAATATTGAACTAAACAGGAAAATTATACTGTCATATTTTCATTTATCTGCTTTTCTTCAGGGTAATTAGAGCATTTCATTTGCATAAACATGAATAAGACACCAAAGTGATGCACAGAGTTAACAAATACTTCTCTCCTTTATTTTTTTACCCAGATGTATTCTTTATGCACCTGCTTGTGCTCTAAAATTCTATGGTTTTCCATGACACAGCACAGCTGATGCTTAAATTTTAGTGCATGTATAGTACTCTTCATTCCAATGACACGACAGAACTCACAGCTGTATATGATGTTCAGAATACACAATTTATAATCGTTTACATAAGAATATTGTCTACATTTGTGTACTTTTTAAATGTTTTGTCTCTTCAAACAGATTTCTTGATTTTCACCTAGCAGTATCAATATATTTGAGCTAAAGGCAAATTACTAATATAGGGAAAGGTTTTTCACTAGCATAATTGTATTCTTCAAACAGTTTCTGGTGGTAAATGTTGCCTTTATTTGTATTCTTTTAATAAATCACATTCTTAGTAAATGGTGTGGGCATACAGAGGCACAGAACCTCCTTAGGGCAAGACAAGTAGCTTTAAGTGTGGCTAATCTCTTTAGGAGGGAAGTTAAGTTCTCCAGTAAAGGTTGGATAGTAGGAGCAGGAGACAAAGCAACTTCTGTTTCCCATCCAAACTTGGCAGCAAAGCATAATAAAAGTTCCTGTAGCTGCCAAAGAAATAAGGGAACGTGGAAATGCCTCTCTTTACACTGATAACTCAAATTCCCTGTAGTGAAGCCTTATATACTGTTACATTTTGCTGATCTTGCAAAGCAAAACAATAAATGCAGATCTATAAAGGGTTCTAAACATTCTTCCCAGCAGGAGATGATTACGCTTGCTTCCTGCAATGACTTTTCCATGCCACCCTTAGTTACTGGCTGAATACTTTCAGGATGCTTCCCTTGGCTATGAAATACTGATGGGATCTGTCTTGATGACTGATTTCGACTGGTATTGTGAGGGGTTCCTTTACAGGGGGTTGCTTCTGAGTTCCACCTTTGTCCCCTACAGCCCTTAGTATGCCATCAGCAGGTTGTTCTCCCATCCCCCCCCTTCTTCTTTTTGAGCAATTAAAGAAAACAGGAAGAAAATGACTCAATCTTCACTAAGTGGGAAGTCACAGGATATATCTCAAATTTTGCTGTTTATCTCATTTTCTGTAATTCAGGATAGACCATTTTAAACTTCTTTGGCATCTTAGTCTTACAGAAAATTACTGATGCATATATAAACAATACTGTTCATAATTTTTACCTACTTTCTAATTTTCCTGTTCCTTTACAACAGGTAAGAATATCATCATGGCCAAAGGAGAAACCAGGAAGCTGGTTTAGTGAATTTAAAAGAGGAAAACTGGTATGTTATTACCTCAACATGAAATGGTTTATCTTAAACTTCACAAATGAAGCTCAAATTATATATCTTAGACCCTGACTGTGAAAGTCTGAGTTATACTATTTTAGGATTCCATGTGTTCTCTGGTTTGCTCCTTCTATATTTCTTAGACCACAGTTGTATTTTAGAGAATTTTTCTAAATGTTTTCTATCAAAATACATGGAAATATGCTAAATTCAATAAATATGATCAGATAAAGTATGCATTTCATTAAGTACCTGATAGACATCATAAAAAAGAATTATGTTAGAAATATCAGGTATAGAGAATGTAATATGTGTTTAGTGTCTCAGACTCTATATCTTTTTTTCTGTTTGAAACCTAATTTATTTTTTATTCTCTATTTCAGTAAAAACTTTTGGAAGGCAAAATGTTTTTTTTTTTTCTTCTGATCGTTACATTTAGAAATAAAGTTCACTGACTGACCTGACCTTTTATTTGGATTATTGCACAAGTTTACTTAGATATTTTCATACCATTACCAGTTCACTATTAATAATTTTTACAGGTATTTTAAGATTAGATGCCAAAACTAAATTTATATTATAAAAGCTGTTTACAAATACATGTGTATTCAAAATAGTAATAAATGTATTTAAGTGAAACTTTTTCACTTATCCCAATAATTATTCAACTGTTTAATGTTCTTTAAGAAGCTATTATTTTCTATTGATGACTATTTTATGGTTATTCATCTTATGCAAAACCTACACGTTAATTGACAACCTTAGTGAAGTTTTCCACTTAACATAATTCTTCAGTTTAGTCTTCAAGTTACATATTAAATATCCATGTGACACTCTTACCTGTGTAGAATTTAAAAATACATAACACAGAACTGTGTGTGTGGTGTTATTTTTTGTTTTGGTTTGTTTACCTTACTGTTCATTTCCCAAGTTTTTTTTTTTTTCCTTCAACTAAACAAGTCTTCTCATTATCTGAGCTGTTAATCAGTAAGGATTAAGTAAATTCAACAAAAGAAGCAAGCCATAGATAATTACCTTTACACTAATCCATAGCCTAGGTAAATTTCCTACTCAATTTTTAAAAAATATCTATGTTCAGCTGACGCCAGTCTTTCAATTTTACCCAATAAAACCATTTATGAATTTAATAAAGGATTGTAATAATTTGTAGTTAAAACTACTTTCCTGCCCTAAATGTAAAATAAGTATTTACTGACTCACCATATATTCTTTTGCGTTGTCTTGGGCATTATGCTTGGTGCTGGTGACACAGTGATGAATAAGTACATTGTCTAAGAATGATCAAACAGGCAGATCTGTGCTGGAAATAGAAGACCAAACATCTTAGAAAACTATGGCGTCAAAAAATGCAGAAACATGTTTAAAACTTTGGGTCTAGTGGCTATAGTATGAAATTTTTAAAGGAGTAGGTGAAATAAAAACACAAAAATAGGTAACTTTCCATTGCACCGAGATACCTCAGTTCTAATTGTTTCACTATTTTGCAGTTCTATAATTTAAAAATATACACAGGGGCGACTGGGTGTCAGTTAAGCCTCTGACTCTTGATCTCACCTCAGGTCATGATCGGAGCCCTGTTTCAGGTTCTGTACTGACAGTGCAGAGCCCGCTTAGGATTCTCTCTCTCCCTCTCTCTCTGGCCCTCTCCCGCTCATGCATGTGTGCTCTCCATCTTTCTCAAATAAATAAACTTTAAAAAAATAAAACAAATAAATAAAAAGATACACAAACATAATGAAAGATCTTTTGGAAACAAAAGCTTTTCTTTTGGAAATTTTTAATGTTAGGAAAACGAAGCATTGAAACAAAGTGAATATTTTTCAAAGATGAGTAGTGCTCATAGTAACTCAGGTGGGAGTACAATAGTGATTTCATAAAATCCTGTCCCTGAGTCTTATGACCCTCCTTGCCCACTTTCATTCCCTAAGTGAAAATGGGACAGTTGATTCATCCACATGCTTCTGGGATCACAGTTCACTGTCAACAGTGATTTTATTCTTTTATAACATAAAAAAGTAAAAGAACCTATGTCTGTCTTTTTATTCTTTTATTCCCAGCTTTCCTATTTAGATGTTGAAGGAAATTCCATTAATATGGTGCAAATGACATTCCTGAAACTGCTGACTGCCTCTGCTCGGCAAAATTTCACCTACACCTGTCATCAGTCAGCAGCCTGGTATGATGTGTCATCAGGAAGTTATGACAAAGCACTACGGTTCTTGGGATCCAATGATGAGGAGATGTCCTATGACAACAACCCTTTCATCAAAGCACTATATGATGGCTGTGCGGTGAGTATAATCACTTGCCTTCTTTCACAGGGTGAGAGGCTGTGTGCAACCATCTCAGCTTGGCCCTAAGTCAGGAATCTCTCATGAAATGGATGTCTGTTGTTTTTAAGATCTGATGCTTAACACTGGCATATTGAAATATGATATATTAGAAGCCACTAATATTCACATACATACACACAAACTCTGAAACTTATATATAGGCACATATTTAAAAGCCATAACAGAAGGTAATCTTAGATCATATGCTATTTGTATGGAATTATTCCTGATATTTGAATACTATTATATCTAGTCATTCTTGAAATAAAAATAATAAAAAACTTTATTTCATTTGCTTCCTTCATCCATGATTCTAAAATGACAAAGGAATCAGCATTATACCATTTACACCATAGCTAATACTTACCCCTGTATTTTGTCCATAAGGGCTTGTCTGTTGGGACTGTGTTATACCAGGTTAGGCAGTTACTAACATTTTTGTGATTTCTATCCTCTGAAACCATCCTTTTCACACAATGGGAGTTCCATTTAAGAAAATGATACAGAAAGCACACTAAAAAAACTCGGTTTAGCTGATGACTAAAGAGAGGTCACATTTATAAATAAATAGGTCCATGCCTTCAACAAAGTGAGTATGGTACCCACAGATTAAAGAAAAGAAAGCATATTAAAAGTAGCAAGTGTTTGGATTTCCCAATAGTAGTGTACTGATAATCATTCATAAAATTAATATATAGCAGCAGAAATGCTTTGACTTTTGACCTTATGTACTATAATTTCTATAATGTATTTAAATTTTTCTTAAGAAACCTTGACATATATTTATGGACACACACACACATGTATATATATGCACATATTGTATGATTATAATGGTAAGAATATATTCTTATGTAGGAGTCTAACCCAATACTAACATCAGTTTTCATGTTAAACTGTATTTATAAATTCAGTAAGATTCTCTTCATCTATGCAGTGTATCCAAATATTATAGTTGAGTGGTAACAGCTAAATATTAAATGCAGCTGTCAACGTTCAAAATTTAAAACTACACATGACATCAGTGATAACAAGAGTTAATTACAACATAGATAATGGCAAATCTGCTTCTTACTCTCTTCTTTCTTACCCTTCTGCCTCCATTCAGAGGCTAGGAAAAAAAAAGCATATATGTTAAAAGCATGAAATGATTGTATAAATTTTTCTTTCTGCTTAATTTTACAGTCCAGAAAAGGCTATGAAAAAACTGTGATTGAAATCAATACACCGAAAATTGATCAAGTACCTATCGTTGATGTAATGATCAATGACTTTGGTGATCAGAATCAGAAATTTGGATTTGAAGTTGGTCCTGTTTGTTTTCTTGGCTAAGATTAGGACAAAGAACATCTGAAATCAACAGAAAAAATATCTTGGTGCCACCAAGCCATTTTATGCCACATGCAAGTTTTGAATAAGGATGGTATAGAAAACAACTTGCTGAGTATATACGTACCGATTAGAAATCCCGATGTCCTTGTGGGGGCAGAATCACACGACAAAAGCTTCGAAAATCATAAAATATAAGATAGTGTGGCTGAGATGGAAACAGGCCTTATTCTTGATTCCCAATTTTCATCTCTCCCTTTCCTATTTGGATTTCTTTGGTGCTGTAGGAAAAAAAAAAACAGAACAATATATATTCATAAAAGATATGGTGCTCATTCCCATCCATCAAGGATGTGCTAAAAGTATGTTTAATAAATTGTAATTATTTTATGTACAGTTCTATACTGTTATCTATGTGTCCATTTCCAAAACTTGCACGTGTCTCTGAATTCCATCTGACTCTAATTTTATGACAATTGCAGAACTATCATGGCAATAAATATATGTATTATGAAAAAATAAAGTTGAAATTTCTGATGACTCTAAGTCCCTTTCGTTGATTAAAAATAAAATGCCTTTGTATATATTGATGTTGAAGAGTTCAATTATTTGATGTCGCCAACAAATTTCTCATAGGGGCAAAAACCTAGAAGATTCTTGGAAGCACACTTGGATCAACTCTTCTCTACTGACAGTAACTTTGCTGAATTTCAGCCAAAAATACCATTGCATTTTAATGCTTTATTCAGTGCTACACCTCAACCTTTTCCTTTTCAGAGTCCAGAATTTCACAGGATACTTGTATATATGGAAAATAAGCAAGTTTATATTTTTGGACAGGAAAATATGTATAAGAAGCTATTTTAACAAAGCAATGCCTCCATTAAACAATCAGATGTACAATTTTTTTACGACCTTATCTCGTTGTTTCAGTGTGCTTCAATCATGCAGATTAATATTAAAAGATGGGAACTAAGCAATTATTTATGAATTTGTTCATTGTTATAATTTCTAATCAGTCAACTTCTTGAATTTGATTCCAAGCTGCATATTATAGTCTTCAAATATTATTTTCCTGCACCTATCCAACAATTACTATTCCTTTTCTTTCAAAATAATATACATTATTTGACCTGCCTAATTCCTAAATAACATATGGGTGGATTGTTACTAACAGTGCTTGTTTTAAAAGTCATACTTATTAAAACAATCAAAACCTTTTTTTTTCCCCCACTAAGGTATTTTCTTCCAGGTAGCTAGCTTGATATAGCAATAAAATTTAAAAATTACAAATTGAACTTTGTATCTATTTTAAGTAATATATGTAAGACTTGAAAATAAATGTTTTATTTCTTATATGAAGTGTTAAATTAATTGATACCAGATTTCACTGGAACATTTTCAACTGATAATTTATCACAAAAGAGCATACCTGTAATATTGAAATTAAAACGTGAACACTTGTCATTCAGAAATTCTTTTATTTTTGAAATCAAGTTTGTAAATGTCCTTTAAAGAAGGGAGATATGAATCGTATAAATAAACTCAAGTCTTGTCTACCTGGATTAGTCACTCTCTTTCTTAAATAGGTTCCAAATTACTCTCTCTTGCAGAAAAGGTTTTGATTCTGTTTCTTGACCATACAGATTAGAATAGTTTTACACTTCTGGAAACAAATATTAACCTTCAGAGATCAAATGTTTAAAATTCTCCACATGTCAAAAATAAAAACACCCCATAGTAATACTCTGTTTACAAAATTAAGGTAGGTTATACTTATAATTTCAGAAATATATTTTTCATAATTAAACACTTTGCAAAGTCTCAAACATATGTTCATAATGTCAGCACTACAAATATTTCCAGATCTTTTGTTTGAAATACAGCCTCTAAATTATACACAAAGTATATAATATGTAATATGTAATGATGTTTATCAAGAGAAACTCCATACATCAGGCAATTTAATGAATATATGGCAATAGGAGAGAATATTTTGCATATTGACATGCATTGGGGAAGCTGCATTATTTGTCCATTTAAATTAAACAGGCTCAAATTTGGCACTCGGTAGAATTAATGAATAAATAACTGAATCCCCTATCCTTTTCTATGCCTTGACATCTAGATATGGCCTTCCACATAGCGTTGGAGTTTTTTCTCTCCTTTATAGTTGATTTAATCTGAACAAAAAGAAATTCAGTGGAAGGGAAAAAGCATATAATATGACATTCTACTCTTGGCCCAAGTATGGATAAACTATGGAGAATAATATTCATCTTGGATGGAACCTGGCATGAGTGGATGCACATGAAATTTGGCATTACTCTTTAAAAATAAATACAAAATAACAAATACAAAAAAACATTACGGAAGTTACTATTTTGAATGAAAAAAGTATTGCAACAATTTATTAACTTAAAAAATGGACCCATACCAAAAGTATCACAAAATCCACATGGAAAAAAAAATCAATGTTTTCATTAATTACTTTTGTAATACTTTTATTCTATGTCTTTATGTTTTGGCTTCAATCTCTGAATGCCTCTTCATATGAGAATTTTATAATTTAATTTCCGATAGAATGTTTCTCTCACTTAAAAAAATGACTTTTATTATCAATAGCTTAGAGCTATTTCTTTCCATTTCACATCTTGTTACTGGTAAGTATTTAAAAATTTTTAGGTTTTTTATTAAAATTTTTTTAAATGTTTATTTTTGAGACAGAGAGAGAGTGGGGGAGGGGCAGAGAGAGTGAGTGAGAGACACAGAATCGGAAGCAGGCTCCAGGATCTCAGCTGTCAGCACAAAGCCCGATGCAGGGCTCAAACACAAACTGCAAGCTCATGACCCGAGCCAAAGTTAGATGCTCACCTGACTGAGCCACCTAGGGTGCCCCTAGGTTTTTTTTTTTTTTAATTTAAGAAAATCTCTATACATTTATTTCATATGTGCACTACAAATCTGTGAGAATTTTCCACAAGCTAGCTTCTGATTCTGCACATTTTATACCTTGTTTTCTCTCCACTACCAATAGATTTCAGGCTCTGGGCACCATAAGATACATGCATGCCATGATACAAACTCTGTCCTCACACTTTTTCTTACAACACAGTAGGTGATAGGATTATTCCAGAAAGCCATTCCTATACCAGGATTACTGGCATTAACTATACATGAATATTAACTGAAAGGTGTATAATTATACCCCAACCATGTAAACTTATTCAATAAACTCTAAATAAATGAATCTCTAATTGAATTTCCTCCTTCCTGGCTTCTTCCTTACCACCCAACACAAGAAAAAAATGCCAAAGAGAAATTGGAGTGGAAAGACAATATTCCTAAGAGATCATAGTTAAAGAATACTACTTGCGCAAATCATACCAATTATAAGACCATGAGAACATATTTCTAGCTGATCTCTCAAGGGCTTAGATGGGGTCCATGAAAGAGAAAGATCCAGAAGCACAGTCCTCTGTATGCTGAGCAACTGTGAAATAAGTGAATTAATTAAGGGCCTAGCACACCATCAGCTAAACGGATTGTTGCTACTGCTCTAAATTTCCTACAGTTACTATCACCACCCTAGCGTAAGTTCCTTTCTAAAACATAACCATTAGCATATGCACTTACAATGCAGAACTTTCATAAAGATTTAATTTAAAAAATGTAAAAAAAAAAATTATACAAATTGCATGATCACAGAGGCCCAGATTGCCAAGTAGGATGCCATGAAATCCAAGCTTTTTACAAATGAGTCACAAAGGAAACAAAACAGGAGAAGCAGCATAAGCCTTGTAAAGACCCAGGAACTGCACATTCATCAGACACAGCTTCTCAAATCCTCTTTTACCACTATATGTTTTGCTCTCCAGAAGGATGAGTTTAGTAGGCTTTAGAGGCTCTCAAATTTTACCCACTTCTAATCTCGTATTGGTATAATGGTCATATAACTAATAATTCTTCGTGTAGCTGCCGCCCAGAGATCCAGAGATGGCAGGATTATTTACAATTGAAAACCTTGCAGAAGTATATCCTGCTAGAAGATTCCGGGTTCAGTAATTGGCACATAGCAACTCTTCCAGATTCCTCATTTATTTTCTCTCTAGTAAATCCATGGTCTATATTTATAAGGAGATTGGTCAGTATCAAAACAGAGGTAGAAAAGAGCTACAGAACCACTGTTAACTCTTTCTTTCTAAAAATATAAGTTGAGATAACTTCAGAAATGTTTTATGTTACAAAACCAGGATTTATTTTGTAATTATCCGATGATGGCATTTCTACCTATAATACTATTTACAGGAAGTTACACAAATATACTGAATACATTCCCATTTTTAAATTACCTATATATGTCTACAAAGAAATAAAGAAGTAGGCTTTTTTCCATAATGGAAACATTTGGAAGATAAAAACCATATGTCCTAGTAGCAGATCTTATTCTAGTGACAACCAAGGGCACAAAGTAAGCTTAAGAGTCTACTACCTTAGTTTGCCATCACTTAGGGTCTCTGGTATAAATAAAATGTTATTTTTTGGCTCACTGAGGGAAACACACAAAGAAATTTTCCCCTGAAGTGGCATACACTTCTATGTTCAACACTGGAATGGCCAGACTGAATTAAATAAAATGAACAAGTCCCCTAAGAAAGAGACAGATTTGCAGGTCCCCACATCAACATGGTAGAAAGGTCTGTGTAACCAATTCTTTGAAATATGAGTTTTGGCATCTTATCCATTTCAGGAAAATGAAATTACTGAGTAATAGTTATCATAGCTAATATTCTGTAAGGTAAAATGTATTTTAAAAATCTTGGATAAA